GTATTCTTTGCCGTGAGGGGCTGAAAAACTAGAAGCGTTGAAAGTGTCGAATAACTTATCCATAATTAATATGAACGGAATTAAATCACGACATTCTGAGGGGATGTCACCTCTTGCAGCTAAACTATCTGCAGCCACTGCCATACTATGGCTCAACACCGCATTTTTGACCCTCATTTTTTTAATTTTTAAGGGATCTATATGTTCGTCTGTTAGTTTAGGCAGAATACACAACTCCCCATGCGACTTATCAGCCTGATAAATCCACTGTATATGTTCTCACTTTATCGTTTTTATTTTGTCGTCATGCATATAGTGCATCTCTTTATTCAGCATATTGTTCCTTACTCCTTTGAGTAAATGGGGAACATCAAACAGTGGGATTATACTCTGATCATTGACCACAAAAATATCATTACGCCATTCTTTTCTGTTCTGCAAAAAAGCAGCTTTCGCTTCACACACTAAGTTATTTATCGTACTTGTATTTACTGTACTTTGGTCACATACTGTTGCTACTATCTTTAATCCAGTAGCTTGCACTTTAGATACAACATTTATTTTAATTTCGTTCAGCTTAGGTGCTTTTAATGTTTGCGTGAAATAGTATGCCACTGGTTGTTTAAAACTTTTTTTTTATGCCTTTTACCATGAAAACTAACACATGGTTTGCAACATTTGCTGTTTTCTCATTGTCTCCATAATTTTCGAAACCAACAAGATCGTCTGTGTGAATATTATAGTGCAAATGTGGTGAAAATGACATTTCATAAAAATTTTGAAATTTGTAGTCTCGACGAGTAACTGGGGGATCATTTTCTTCACCTTCCCTACGAGCACGGTCTGGTAAATAGGACAAGGTATCAGCTACATTCATACGAAAATCAAGCTGAGGCATTGTGTCTTTTCTGAGAAGACCATTGCTCAAGCAATCGTTCCTGTATAGTCTCCAAGAGTTCACCAATGCCAGATCTAAAAAGTGTATCAAAACTTTTAAAGTCCACCTCTTGGTTTTGATAAATGCTCGATAGTATTCCATCTGTTTATCGAGTACATCGACTCCCCTCCTGTATTTGTTATAGTTTTGTACTATTTTTGGAGCAGAAACGTCAGCATAAATTTTATTATTTTTATCCCACCTTTTTACGTGTGATGTTTCCTCGTTACCGGTACAGTTTGATGCTAGTAACACCGCTTTACTGTCTTTACATTTCACAATAGTAGTGGGCTTACAAACAAATTCCTGAGATTCGCCGCGTTGCATCTGTAAACCTTTTTTAAATTTGATTGTTGCTCGGTCCGGTATTGGATTTTTTTTATGGTACCCGTAGAATGCAGATTCAACATCTCCAACTCTTCAACCAAAGGAACAGTGGTGAAATAGCGGTTATGGTAAACACAGCTGCCAGGTGGAATACTTTTAGACAAGTGCAAGATGACAGAGGGTCCAAGACATAGTTTTGAATCGCCAAACGTTGATCTTGCGCCTTTGTAGATATCAAAGTCTAGCATGAGCCCTTCGCTTGTAGTCAACACGAAGTTTTTGAGGCCTACAGTCCGTGGTTTATTTTTTACAACTTGACGTAACTTACAACGGCCAGTGAATGGTATCATTTGCTCATTTATAGAATAGAACCCTGGTACTCTTTCCAGTTTACTACTGGTTTCTTTTCTTTATCAATCATGGGTTGCACTTTCCAAAGTGGATTACCGATTTCGATTTCAGGTGGAGATTCGGAATCAACAACATGGAGTGCATTTCGAAGAGTGAGAAACCTGTCTCTTGACATTACGTGTCTTTTTTCAAAGTCTTGGTGCGAAGGTTGAACTTTGTTAGAAATACGTTTTTGACTTTTGAGTAAGAAAGAACTTTCTGTCCAGCCGATTTTGCTTCATCGCAGTATAATTTATAAATTTCAGGACACGTCATATCAGATCTCAAAAATTTTGATAGTGGGAGACATATGTAGGCAGTTTCTTTATCACGTTTATGACAAATGCGTCACTTTGAGAAGTAGCTTTATTAGATCAGCCTCTTGTACCACGATTATCCTTTATGCAATTATCGCCTTTTTTGTACATAATATTCCCGAGTAAATGTCTTCTTCTTGGAGTTACAGGTATTAGTTGTAACATATGAACGTTTTATTGGTTTCTCCTTAACGCAAGCCGCTAAAAACTTATTTTGAGCTTCATAGGAGCCTAAAGCATAAAATTTTCGGGATTCAGTTAACCTATTCTCATTTCAAATAATATTTTCACATTCTTTTGGACAATTGCAGCTATAATCTAAAAATGGATTTGGATCAATCATTTGATTCCTGGAGTTCACATACGCATAATTTGTGTATTTCCTTTTTTTCCTTTCTTCTCGAGTGTATCCACCGTAACTTCTCTTTCTATCCTTTTTTGGCCTACCTTGCGGTGATTTATCGGTATCAGGAGCGTTCACGTGGGATTTGGTTAGAATAATTAGGGGTTCGAATTCCATTCGTATCAGCTTGTGTTTCATAGACATCTGCTAATGTGGTAATCAAAGATACTGATTTTCTTGGACTACTATCACTACCGTCAGTATCATTATTACAAATAAAATCCGGATCCTGTACTGAGTCATCACTATTCAACATGATTTCAGTTGTATTGGAAGCTGGGGAAACCGTTGGTTGGTTTTCATTAATGTTGAATTTATTCTCGGGAGTTTCGCAGACATTTTCAGTCTTCTGTCAACATATTATACAGGTTTGTCGTCTCTGGTGACATTGAACGCAAAGGAGACGAGGAAAGATCACTTAGGGTCGTATTCCAGGACTCTACTCAATACTCAAGTCAGGACTTGAGTATTGCAGTGAGCACTGAAAATCATACTCAAGTCCTTGCCATTAGGGTCGTATTTCCAGTGCTTGAAATCATACTCAAGTCTACTCAAATCGTGACTTGAGCATTGAGTAGAGTTCTGGAATACGACCCTAAGAATGCTGTGCTTTGTCCCTGAAATTAGCGGAGATACTGCTGGAGGAGGACTGGAGGTTCGACCCTTTTCTCAGCAATTGTTTCATGAGGCATTACGTGGGGGTCGGGTAATTTCATAACCCCGTTATTGCTAACAGACGCGTTCGTACATTGTTCTTCAAACATCCGTGCATTAAAAGTACTAAGCGGTTTAAGTGTTGACGGAGAATATAATGGAGGTTCTATAAGCTTTTCCCCTGCATTCTCGGGAGGGTTAGTAGTTGAGGCTAAGTCCATGCATTTTTTACAAACACACTTGCAGATAAGTTAAGCGGTCTAGGTGTTAAGGGAGAATACGGCGGAGGCTCTATACTATTTCCCCTGCATCCTCAGTAGTGTTAGTAATTGAATCTTCATAGCATCCACAAAAAAGCGGTTTGACAATATTCGCTAGCCCTGTGAGGGAGATTTTCAAGCTCTCTTAGCTTACGGCGATTGTTATCAGCAACAGGCAAAGCTGCAGAGGAAAAAAAATGTTACCTTCTTATATTTTAGGTAGCTTAACAACTGCCTTATGAATTATTTTACTAATGTGAATTATTTTATTTACATAAAAAACATAAAGCTTCGTTCTTATACTCAATTTCATTAATAAATAAAATTACAATTTAATTTTAAAACCTACTCAATTAACAGCAAGTACATCTATTTTAAATTGTTCGATTATTCATTTCCGTCCGTCCGATCGTCTATCTACCTACCAGTCTATAATTTTTATCATAACTAACTACCGTCAGGGAGTAAGTAAGTAGTAATACCAATCAGTAGGAACATTACATTGGTGGAGGACTTTTTTAGAGGAAATAGTGTACAATTGATACAGAATTCTGCAATAGATATGCACGATTTGCGCACTTACCTGTATTTAATTTCTTTGTAGGATGTAGAATTAACCCATGAGAAGGCGCGCCTAAATTTGCTATACGGAGAGGCGCGAAATAAGTAACTGGCCAGAGGTTTAGTTAAAAAAAAGCTTTATTTAAATGAACAGAGTAACTAGGTTCTAATCAAAAACAACAATCAATCTAATTCTAATTTACATAGTCTTATATACTAATTTATTCATTTGTCAGCAAGTGCGCAACTGGCACGGTTGGGCGTGCTGACAAAACGGAAAGAGTCACAATCTCTTTCCTTAACTCGCGCGTGAGCAAATTGCACACTACTTTATAGTCCTTTTCACATAGGATGGGTACGGTGACGTTTGGGCTTTGAAGTTTCTAGTGATGTGGTAACGGTAAAATCGGATGAATATTAATCGATTAAATATTTTATCGAGAAAATGTTTCCTATAGAGGGAATCGATTTTAGCAACAATGATTTTCGAAATAAAACAAACATGTTCATGGGATTTTATCATTTATTCTTCCTCCATTTTTACAATAGATTCATTTTCTGAAGAATCACTTGATTCGTCATTAACATTTATTATTAATTGAGAATCTATAAATTTATCAATGTTTACATCTCTTTCCCAATCATGCAGCACAAGATTTTTTGTTTTCTCGACCACATTTTTCCAGTCTACAGCAGTGACATTATTACATGCCTCCTCCAACAACTTCATCATTTTCGTTGATGTAAATGGTGGGGCAGTATTATTTCGGGCCGCGTATCCTGAAATGAAACATAATCGTATTTATTTCTGTAATTCAAGTTGTAAACACAATGAGATACATACTAGATAATGGTTAACCAAATTACCTTTAACTTGAGCCCAAATCAGTTCGATTGCATTATACTGGCAGTGGTACGGTGGCAGCCTTAAGGCTTCATGACCACATACTCGTGCCATTTCATCCAATATATATATTGGCGATTGGGGTTTGTTCAATTTCACTAAGTTTATTAGTTTTACCTTTAACATAGATTCACCAGCTTCGATATTATTAGCCTTGAGCCATTCAATTAATTCACTTTTCTTATTAGACATAGTGGGGTGCTTATTTAACTGCACGGAGTGGTATGATGCATTCTCCATTCCGATGATACTTGGTTCTTCTAAATTATTCAGCATATTTTGGAACCACTCCGTGAATACTTCCGCGTTCATATCTTCATGATATTCCCCCGTTTTTTTAGATTTAAATGCCAAAAGACTGATTTGTACGAAGCCGTTAGATGTGCCCGCGTGACAAATTATTAGTCGGTCGCCTTTTCCTTCTGGGACTTTGGTTGCAGAATGAGCAGTGTCATCGGTCCACATTTTACCAACCGTATGGTTGGCATTCAACCATGTTTCATCTAGGTATACAACTTTGGTCCAATCTTCGATCCTCTTCGCTTTTCTTAAAAAAGTTACCCGCGCAAGTGCTATGTCACCCCGTTCCATTATAATTTTTCGCATGTTAACTTTTTTAAAACGAAAACCAATTCTCTTTAGTAACCGCCATAAAGATGTAACGCTACCGAAAAACAGGTCAGCATCTCTAAGGGACCTTACTAATTTTAGTAAAGTAGGTAATTCTTTTCGATTGTAAAAATCATAAATATGGCGTCTTATAGCATCAGCGTTGAAACTGTCAATGTCAGTAACTGGAGCCTTTCTTGGTCGCTTCTTATTTGGGGTCGATAACTTTTTCTCCTTAGAAGTAGACTCTCCATATTTTTCTCGAGTAATGCGAGAAACCGTGTTTCGACCGATGTCCAACGCACTTGCCACTCGACCAAAACGTTGGAAACAGGCAAGAGCATTCCGCCATTCTCACGGGCTTGGCTACCCAGCACAGTCTTTTTCGTCTTTTTTGGCATATTGCCAAAAACAAAACAACGAAACAAAAAGTCAATAACAACAACGTAACAAAAAGTCAATAACACAAACCAAAGCGCAAACTGAAAACACGGACAGCATACAAGGCATATGCACTCGTACTGACGATTCGAACATATTTTGATATGACAGCGACCAACCAGTGTTGCCAGCGCAAAAAAACACGATGCCATAGCGATGGCAATACTGAATGACCGACCGACTCATGCTTTGCTAGTGTCGCCATACTTAATTTTAGCTTTTAAAATGCTAATATAATAACTGTAGATCAAATAGTGTAAGTAACAATTGATTAATGATCACTTAGTATAATTTTCATAATAATTCTCTTTTTAGTTTTGTATTAAAGCCAAAAAATGAATTGAAAAAAAAAATTATAATGAAAGAGTAAAGAAATCATGATACGATTTCGTTCATCATTTGAAAAATGTATCGATTGTAACCGACTTTTTTGCTTTAATCTCTACAACAAAACCGTTCCAATTTACGCGTCTAGTCATTTTAGTTAATTTTAGATTCATGTTTTTTAATTTCAAGTTAAATAATTACGGAAATCTAAAAGCAGTATTTCATTTTAAATGTAAATTGAAACATATTTTAAGTATGTCTATGTTTTAAGTTTATTAGAAAATAAACTTTCGTTTCGTGCGTGAAATGAAATTGCTTCAAGTGTCACCGTACCCTTCCTTCGTGAAAAGGACTATAAATGGTCATATTTCTCCTGTTGTTGAGTATACGAGGGTGAATCAAATATAAACGAGACTTATTTTTTAAAATATTTATTTTGATTTTAAACGCACAAACAATCATAGTTTATTTTTCTACATAATCTCCTGATTTAGAAACACATTTCTCCCAGCGTATAGGTAATTTTTCAATTCCTTCCAGGTAAAAAGAGTCAGGTCGTGTTTGTAGCCAATTGCGCACATATGCTTCAACCTCATTATCGCTGTGGAATTTTTGCCCTCCCAAAGCTTCCTTGAGAGGACCAAAGACATGGAAGTCGCAGGGAGACAGGTCTGGACTGTATGGAGGGTGTTGCAGTGTCTCCCAACCCAGTTGCTCCAATTTTTGTACGGCTGCTGTATGGGGGCGAGCATTGTCATGGAGGAGAATCACTTTTCTCATCGGAAGGTCTCGTCTTTTGCGGCGATATGCAAGTCTGACCTCAGTCAAAAGTTTGCAGTAGTATGCCGCATTAATTGTTTTGCGCTCATGCAAAAAATCAAGGTACAGCAGGCCACGCTCGTCAAAAAAAACGGTAGCCAAAACCTTGCCAGCCGATAATCGTGACTTGGCTTTCACTGGTGCGGTTTCTCCTTTCTTCCTCCACTCCTTACTCGCTTGTTTCGACTCAGGGGTGTAGTGATGCACCCACGTTTCATCACAGGTGACAATGTGAGAAAGAAATGGGTCTCCTTCTTCCCGAAATTGTGCAAGAAGACGCTCACACACTTGAAAACGATTCAGTTTCTGGTCAACTGTGAGAAGGCGAGGAACCCACCTGGCACACACCTTGCGATACCCTAGCTCCTCTGAGAGTATAGAGTAAGTGCTCCCATAACTTATTCCAACCTTAATTGCAATATCCGAAGTTGTTAGACGCCTATCACCTTCAACAAGTTGACGAACACTGTCGATGTTGCCCGCTGTAATGCAGGTGCGGGGTCTGCGGTCATGGCTCTCATTTTGAACACGTTCACGGCCCTCCATGAAATGTTTGTGCCAAGCAAACACTCTAGCTCGCGACAGCGTCTCATCCCCGAACTGTGCAGTCAATCTTCTCAAGATTTCGGCCGGTTTTACACCTTCTGCAGCTAAAAACTTGATAACAATACGTTGCGCAATAGAGGGAGGTACCTCCTGCTCGGACATCGTAACGATGGACACTGAGCGAGTCTATGATGATGAGTCACGTGCTTCCCCCACTCCTGACAAACCAACCAAACAGCCAATAACAGCGGAACGTTCTTCCATCACTATTGCGCGCGCAGGTCCAAAAGTCTCGTTTATATTTGATTCACCTAGTACCTATTGGCTAATGGATTTATGTGAATAAAACAAGGTTTAAGAAGGTCGAGATGAAGGATTGTGGTGTATCCTATCACACTCATCATTCAATTTTATCAATAGTTTCAGTTTTCTTCAGGATTGATTTGTTTAGCAGGCGAGTGTTTGTAACCGAATGACGCAATAGGGCTGAAACTCAATTTATATACCAATGATGAGTCCCCAATTAGTATGACACTAAGCAAGCGTCCCTATTCCCACTCCATCCGCTCCATTCCACGAACTTTTGGACCTCCCCTCGTAGAAATGTCACAAAATACGCCTATGGCAACCCGGGAGTGTTCTCTTGCATATGTTTCACCAGCTCAACACCAGCATCTGTTGTGGAGGGACCCCGAATGAAACCAAATTGTGTAAGAGACATTAAGTTGTTATTGTAAAAATGTGCACACAGCTGACTTAGAATTATTTGTTCAAAAATTGTACTAGCATGGAACTTGGTGAGGTCAGATTTACTACTATATGGGGTGGCGTTGATGTCAAGGTTGGATTTATAAATAAATACAAAGAAATAAAAAATAAAATATATAAATATCAAAAATGTATTGAAAATATACCTACTTATGAATAATTATAATAAATATAAAGAAATAAAGACATTGAAAATATACCTACATATAAATAACTATAAATTTTCAAGGCTATTATATTCTCGCCAACAATGGCCAACACAATGAAACACATTGCACTGGTGGCACCGGATGTTAGTGGTTTTTTTAATTTTTTTTGCGCTGCATCGGGCACAACGTCCTCTCTTGAAGCGGTCCTGCTTCTGTGATGAGCGCTCCAGAGTAACTTCTTCATGCTCTGGAAAGTGGTCCAAGGACCTGTCCAACCGAGCAGAAGCGTTACTCTGGCGAGCTCGAGAGGGGACGTTCTGCCCGAATTGCTGACACAGCTCGAGAGCCAATTTATATCTGAACTGACGGTGCGCACAGTGTACCTTTTGACCAATCTAGAGGGACAAAATTAAATATTGTGTGTTCTTGGTTCAATTTAATATAACAAGTAAAGGAAAGATTTAGGGTGACTTTATAATAAATAAAAGAATATTTTCAGTTTATATACATTTATTTCAATAAGCTTAAAAAATCTTCGTTTAATTTATGACACTTTTTTTTCGGCATTTTGTTCAAAAGTGTTATATATGGGTCAGATGACACTAATATATATTTCATTAGGTCCAAGTTTGTTCTGACACGAGAAATTTTACATGTATGACCCAAACGAATTTTCCTTATTAATTTATTTTGAGCTTCGGAGGCTTCCTCGGACATTTGTCCAATTGGGATAACACAATTCCTGATGATTTCTGCCCCGTGGACCAGAATCTTGTGCTGGGTGACGGGCATAATGTACCAGCTGTATAAGGTAAGGTACAAATTTCTTGTCTCGGCACAGTATTCTTGAAATTTATCTGGATTTATTTCAAATTCTGATGACAGAACTTTAAGTATCACACTTAAACGTTGAATCAGGGACTCGTCGAGTCCCGTGATTTCAGCTGTGGTTTTACAGTCTTTGAAAAATCGACGAGCAGTGTTGCCGTCATTGCTGGTTCCAAATCCTGGCTTCACCTTATCTATTATCAGGCCGATAGTTTTGAATTTTTTAATAATAGCTTCTTTTCTTTTTTTTAAAGCGTCCTTATTAACATTGCCTCTCACTTGCCAAACTTTAATATCCAGACGGTATGCTATATTAAGCAGACATTCCATAGTCCGAAGCAGTGCGTGTAATGATGAAATGCCGAACTTGTACATTTCTGAGTCAGGTGTTTTTAATGGAATAACAGAGTTCATGTCTTTTCCAGTTGCTTTGCAAATAAAACACTTCTGTGTTGATGAGTTATCAGACAAAACGTTACACACTTTACCGTCTATCATCGACAATATTAATGTGTGATTTATAGTTATATTGTTTTCACCAACTTTTATCTGTGTTGGTGTTAGATTAATTATCTGCTTTTTAATTCTATCACATTCGTTTTTAATTAAATGTGTCGATTCTTTCTTAAAAATAAATTTTATTATCCGGCAAAAACGCGGCGATGAAGGTCGTGGATTTTGCCATATTAGTTTATCAGTTCCTACTTCTACAAGTCTTAAGGGAACTAAAGACAAAATGAACATGTACTCGTCTGTACTCTCGGAATCTTCGAATGTCTGTTTGTACAAACTATGGCCAGAAGACCCATCACAGCCCCATTTATACATCAAAATGTAATTTGATTCTTGCAGATTTGTCTCTAAAAATACGTCTTTAAGAACATCGCTGCATAACCTGGTTGCTGTATGATTTAGCAGTGCTTGAAGATGTACTTCAGCGGAGATATCAGTGACTGTGATATTTTCCACACTTGGATAGCAGTTCTGCTTCGATTTAAGCAGTTTATTATATGTAGGGTACAAGTTAAATCCTCTTTCTCTGGCTTCTCTTTGCATATTTTTATATTGCTGGACGGAAAGTTGATTTGCCACAAATAATGCCAAAGCCTCATCACTTGTGTATGGACGTTGCTTTGAACCCGAATTAGCCATAAGCCGCCTGCTCTTGTAAGCCGTTGCCCGCTTAGGCGAAGCCAAAGCAACTTCTTTTATTAGAGATGCAGCATCACGTTTACCGCTAGCTCGCACGTTCATTTGTACAGCTAAAGTTAATTCTTCTTGATCGTAAGTTTCAATTAAACGTTTTACTTTCCTTCTTTTTGATTTTAGCGAGCTCTCTTGAAAGTTTTTTTTTGGTCGCCCTGCTTTGGGCCCGGTTGTATCTCCAGATATTAAAGACTTCTTTTTGAAAGTCATTTCCTCTTCAAGCCAATCTTTATAAGTTTTATAAAATAAATCCACACGTCTTCTCTTTTGTAGCCATTTCTGCCGAATTTTTTCACATTCTTTCTTGACAAAAACTTTAAATTGATTTTCTTCTCGTTTATTCAATACTTTGTTAGCATAGAATGGTTTCATGAAGTCAATCACACTTGCCATTCTATTCTTCTGCGAGGTAGAACGCCAAAAGTCGAAAAGTTCTTTTCGCTTAAGATTTGCACCTATCGACAAAAAATTAAATTATTCAATAATCGCAAAAAATCGCACTTTAAACGGGTACTAATTAAAAAGGGTAGCAATAAAACGAGTGACTGTAAATTACAGTTCTAAGTGTCAAAATTAATTAATTTGGGTTATAGAATTACTAAGTGAGCGACTGACTGCGAGTGACGAGAAATCAACAGAACAGCAACTTACAAACATTAATTTGAGTTACTTAAAATACAAAATGAGCAGCTTCATAATATTTGAGCGACCTAATATTTGTTTGAGTGTCAACGTTACGTCCTGCATTTTTTTCAATATTTGGCAAATGTATTTTTTATACTGAGCGGCATTTTATCTTAAATGAAGTGTTTCGAATACAAAAACCACTTTGAAAAATACACTAATGAGCAGAGTATAATGAGCTCACATTTAAAAAATAAAAATAATATGAAATAACTATTTAAAGAAACACTATTCTATTAGTTGAGAAATTTTATTATTGAAATATAAGGGTAATTAAATAAAACAATGTACTCCGTAAAAATAAAGTAATATGCATGCATTTATTTCAATCAAATTAACAAAAAATAAAATAAGACGCTTCAGTCAACTAAAAAAAAACTTCTTATTAATACTAAGAAACATTGATAGGTATGAGGAGCCCTACTACTCATCGTCACTGGTAAATAAGTGCGGGCTTGGACTTAGTGGGCCGGCCTCGTTTTCTTTTTTGTCCAATGGGTATCATTTTTGCTTCCAGTGGTGGTGTTGTTAGTTTGAGCCGAATTGCTAGCCCCAAAACGTGCATACATATCTATTGAAAAATTCGGGACAGTCGCACGATCCTTTTTGCCAGTCCAAATTTGGCAATGTGGTTTTCTGGAAAGCAACTGACTGCTTTTTATACTCGTCAAAAGTCTGCCAACGATCATTGTAGTTTAAATCTGTAGCATTTTCGTTGCAAATCAAATATACTTTTTTGGTAGGATCCGATGCTACTATCTTTATATTTATGCTTTTCTTCGCCCAGACGTAAGCTTCCGTCCATTGTCGAAGCTCAATAGTAGGTGCCTCAGGTAACGAAGAGATTACTAATGACCACTGGGCTACCATATCGGTAGCAACAGACAGAAATCGCGACAGAGGAAATCGTTCTCGCAATGTATTATGGTCTTTTATGTTTCTATTAAATGACTCGAGGGCATTATTTGTCGATGGCGACATAGGTGCTGCACCTAAGAACCAATTGCGATTCTTTCTGAACCATTCCTCTTCCATGTACTTTACAAAGGTGGTTTGTGTTTTCCATTTCTCAAGGAACGCTTGCGAAGCGGCATTAAACACTTCGAGTGAATCTGCGTTATGCAAAGCATCTACATCCCTCAAAACGCTTTTTTGTTCCTTTTTGGCACAATTTTTTCTACTTTCTTTTGTATATTTATTTTAGCATGTGCCCAGCACATACGAATAGTCGGTTCTTCACCAAAAACATCTGAAAATGCGTTTTTTATACTTTGAGCTGCGTCGCAGATCAGAACTCTGGGTTTCATTGTGTAATCGTATAATTGCATAACTTTGTCCTTTATTCCTTGGAACATTGTCTGAAAATCTTCTTGGCGCTCATTTGTAGCTACTCCCAAGCAAATAGGATGAAACTTGCGATTTATATCCGTAGTGCCAACAATCAGCACCGGAAATCCCTGCCATATCAGTTTGTAAGTGGCATCAGTGTGTATGAGTTCCGTGAATAAAATTGTTTTCAATAATGTT